CCCCCCCTGCCGTGTAACCTTTCCAGCGGCGCGCTACGTTTTCCACACTCGCGCGAATAACTCCGGCAATATTTTAACTGCGGCATCGGAGCATCCGTTCCTGCCTTCTCCGCCGCCCGATACACGCAGTGGATACCTCTTCGACCCACTCCCCCGCCGCCCCCTCGCCTATAGTCGGATCCTTCTCCCGTGGGGCGACGGGGAGGACGAGGAGGGCAAGGGAGAAAGAGAGAAAGAGAAAGAGGAACACACCCCGTTTCGTACAGAATGTATATAAGTTACACCGGCTACCCGGTATATTTTATATTCCGGAGCGAAACGTTGATCGGCTCATGGCCCTCGCGAGGCATCGCCGAACGACCGCCGCGGGAACCGTCGTCTATTTATGCCTCCACACCGTATATATCGGGGTACAACTATACCCGAGATAAGCCCGACCTGGCCCCCGTGCCGAGCGCCACCCTCTTACGACCCCCTCGTGCCGAGACGCGCGGCGACGCTAATCGTCTCGATGTGTTCGCTCGAAAGTTTAATTGAGAGAGCGCGCAGACGCCACGGTTAAAAGCGAAATCCAATCGGGTTTCCGTTTTCGAGATTTTCTATGCGCCAGTCTCTCTCTCTCTCTCTCTCTCTTTCTCTCTCTTCCTTTCTTCGTGTATACCTTTTTTCACCGTGCAACGTCGTGAAAGCACTTCCTCGAGATTTTTTATATCACCCACGCGGCGTAAAATTTATAACGAACCGTGTTTCGCTCAAGTGTCTGGCTGAAATCTCTCCTGGTATTAATTAATAAGCGGAACACACTAAAAGTCTTTTTACAACTTGCGTTTAATGTTAATCCGCGAGCTAGGCGGGAGATTCCTCGGGCGAAATCCTCGTGTAACATCCCGACCTGGTGCTCGCGCGGCCCACCCTATGCATAAAACAGCAACTTCTCCCGAAAATGATGGGCATCTATCCGTCCGCACGTCCTTCCCCTCATTCCCATTCCCATAACGAGAACGAGTCGGATATCGTGCACCTTGTTTCTGTTTGGATACCCCACGACGCGCACGGTTGTTATTCCTGCGTGCCCGTCGCTTCCTATATTTTCCTTCCTACTTTTTTTCCTGCCGCGCGCGTCATCATCGCCCGCTCTTTTCCTCGTTCCTCTCCTTTTCCACCCGCGTCTGCATTCTCATCATCGACCCGCCCACGTCTCGCCTCTCGATTTCCTTCGGAAACCTGGGCTTTATGGACACGAAACTCGCCCGGGTAAGCGTCACGTAAGCGAGCCCGGTAATGAAAACGTCGCTGACGCGACGAGATTCCGACGGTGGCCCGCGCCGACCGATGTATATTGTTATTACTCACGATACCCACGGAGCGAATCACTCTGACAGGGAGTGCCGACCGCGATCAACTAGCTTCCAATAACCTCTCGCGAGTGTGTTTCACGGAGCATCATTTTGCCGCGGAGAGAGGAACGGCGTGCCCCTCGAAAAATTCATATCGTTGCCAGACCCGAGTTGAAATTTTGCTCCTATACTAAACCACTAATTTTATAACGCAATAGGAGCTAAGATTAGCAAAACAGATTTAATTCTGATGATATCATTTACTCCTACTTTGACCATAATGATGTCTTAAATTTCGATTTAAACTATTTTATAATGTCGAAATGTTTTGAATATTCATACGAATTTAAAAGGTTGCTGTACTTGAAAACTTTACCGATTAAATACAGAGTTTTTTCTGTAAAGTTTACGTATTATCGATTGGACAAAAGTACAAATACTTCTACATAGCGAATGTGTGCGCGAAATTTAATTGGAACATTATTCGATATGTGAAGATTAAATATTTCAAAAGGAAAATCTCAATCTGTCAAATAAATATTTACTTAAAACCAAGATTTCTACACATGGAGTCGTTCTCGTACATAAAATAAAAGTTGCACGATTCTTTCATGTTCGATTTACGCAAAAAGCGCGTATATCACGCGTACATAATATTATTATAATTTAATTCAAATGACCACCGTATTATTATTTAGCGCGCTACCTATACGATGAGGTCGATAGATTTTCATTTGCGAGTACATTCGCCGTGCCGATAATGATCACGACCCTTCGATCCGCGCCGGTGCCCCCTTAATGGATCTCGCGCCAGCAGCGCGGGGTGGCCTCGTTACCGAATTAACTAAGCATCCATTTACTTTTGGTGACAACACACTTTGCACACTCGATAAAGCATTCCTCTCCGGACGTCAGTCGAGCCGATGCGCGCCGTTATTACTCACGTCGCCGATGGAGCGAACAGCCCCTTCACGAGCGCGACGCGAGCGTCCTTCCTACAAAGTCGAGAGCGACATCCGATTCAATTACGTCGAAGTGACGAACCGTCGTCGCTCCCTGCGTCATCCTCGGCTTCTTATTCCCGTTATTTCAGCGAACGTCATCTTTAGCATCCACTCGAATGTTATCATCAACGCGATATGAATAATGTATGCGTCGAGAGGCATCGTTGGCAATTTATTTCGTTCTTAATATTATGTTTCCCGATGCGGAAATATCGAGCCAAAAACACTCACAAATTTCGCTGCCTCGGAATTTCGACGCTCGCCGATGCTAAAACAAGAACGCCGAAATCGCACGATAAATAATGAAAAATCTCCTATCGAACTCTCCTCTCTCTCTCTCTCTCTCTCTCTTTCTCTCACTCATTCCGTCTCGCTCTGCCCGCCCCTTCTCTCTCTCTCCCCTTGCGTGTTCCAATCGCGACGCATCTTTACCGCGAATGATTTGTTTCGCCCCGAACTCACGGATGGATAAAACGGCCCGTGACACCCCGGGTCGCTCACCCCGTATAAATCGAGCAATCGCGCGCGCGCGCGTCGAGCCTCGCACCCGAACTTCCGTTCGCCGATAACGAATATTACGAATGGCCGCGGTGTCTCGTTTTTGATCGTTCCTCTTTTTTGAAACGCCGCGCCGATACGGTCACCTGCCGCTGATTTACATCGACACGGCGCGGCGGACGCATCAATTTGCCCGTGCCGATACTTCGTCTAATCGGACATCGGCCGGCGTTATCCGCGGCGGTATCCGCGCGCGGTGTGGGCGCGGAGGCGGGCATCGATATATACGCATTATCCGGAGCGATTTCGCTCGCATACACTGCTTGACACGCGTGTCACTTGTTCACTCTAAATCGGCTGATTAAATTATGGTTCCACCGCCCTACCTCTGTGTCCACCGACCGGTCCCTTCCCCCACCGGTCCGCCCTACCGCCTGCCGTCATGCCGCGGACATGCTACAAAGATTAATCCGGAATCGTTGGCGTAGCGGAGGATGATACCTCGACAAATATGGCCACGTGTCGAAAAACAAATAGTTCTTTGATCGACGTAATGCGTAAACGAGTAGACGAATGGACGACACATCTCTCTCCCTCTTTCTCTATACTTTGTCGGAGGATTTTACTGGCGGATGCGCGCGCGTGCGAGAGGGGGGAAAGAGAGCGCGGTCGGAACACGCGGGAATTTCGATGGCTGCGAAGCGGTAGTTACCGCGGCGATGGTAAAAGCGGAGTTTCGTTTTATTTATTGTATTAATCAGTTCTTCGGTGAAATAAAAAAAAAAAGGCCGCAACGAAATACCGGGCGGATTCGATTGGAATTGGGCATGGTCGATGTGGTCGAGTTAAAACTTTATACTATACCGGCCCCGAATTCCCATGCGAAAAAAATATTTTGCGGAAAGAGTCGGGCAATAAATCGCCGGGTCGACCGGACACAACACCGGATATACCTGGCTCGTTTGGAAAAAAATTCAAGAAAAAATATTTTAATTAAAATGCTTTCGCGCGTATGAAAGTATAATATTTTCGCGATACAGCCTCATACACGTATATTTGGCGCCATTTGCGCGCAGAGTTGCGAAATATATTAAAACTAGGAGGAACTTTCAAAGAAAGAAAGAAAGAGAGAGAGAGAAAGAAGGAAAGTGTTGTCGTTCTAAAGCACGCTTTCTAAGAGCTAAAAAAGTAATCGCATAAAATAATTTGCGTAATGCTATTAGTAATACAATGAGACCGAGGAAATATGGTGAGGATACATTAATGAGATAAAGAAATATAATAAGTAAAAAATTAGCGTACAAATAATTTACGACATGCAAGTTAGTGATATAAAAGAAGAAGAATTGATATAAAAGAAACGTTATATAAACGTTAAATATTTTTTGTAGATGCAGTAGTAAGATAAAAATAAAATAAGTAAGATTAGTAAATAACGGGAACTGTATTAATAAAATTATAAATAAATTATAAATAGAAGAATAAATTTACTTAGACGAGAGATAAGTAGCACCAATACAATACTTAATATCTAATAGTTACATAAAATCAGAAAAGGGTTAACTAAAAAGGCCAGAATGGTTTTAATATGAAGAAAAAAAAGGAGACGTTTGCCCAAAAACGTAAACCGCGACTTTCGCTCGCAGTTAATCTCAATTTCACTCCTCCCCCCTTCGTGGGAATACTTCGGCTCAAAGCGTCTTATTAAATCCTTCGCGACAATGAAAACTAGAATAATTACCTCGATTAATTAAGAGAGTTCGATGATTATTTCACTGGTCTCCAATCGCAATTGCGCGCTAAGTTACCCGCGAATCACCGACGACGACGACGACGACGACCACCGCTTTATCCTCGAGGAGAGCCCGAAATTACACCGCGAAAGAAATCCTGCCGCCGTATGCGGCGCATACAAATTTTGATAAAAACGCGGACTTATCGGGTTTTGCCGGCGGTGTGGCCGCGGAAATATGCGCGGCGGCTTAGTAGGACGAACACGAGGGACGGTGGCGGTGGGGGGGAGGCGCTGGGGTGGGCGGGGGAAGGTGAGGGACGGATACCCAACGTCGGGAAACGTATACCTCCCCCGACGTCGAAGGCTCAGGGTTGGAGTGCGGTAAGCAGCTCATTAGAACCCTCCCCGCCGACCGGCCATTATTGCCTCGTTCCGTATTCCGTTACAAATTGCTTTATTAAATTAAAGTCCCACAACCCACACTCCGTACCGCGTCACGACCCTGTGTCGACCCTTCCTTCTGCCGCCCCCCTCTCTGAGATCCCTTCGTTTCTCTCGCCCCCTTGTATATACGCGCCCACATGCCGCATCGTACCGTGTGCGGCCCCCTCGTCTCCGTGGTCGAACTCGAAGTCGCCCGTCCCCCCTTCGCCCCCCTCGTCGAATTGTCCCTCTCTATTAGCCCCGAAAATTTTCTCGAGCCTCTTTTTTCCGATCTAATTAAAAGAAGCCGACCGAGTGGCCGAGATTAAAATGATCAGCCGGCGCGATTAAGATGAGGTCGCTCGATCCACGAAGGATTCACGACGAGATAAACGTCCCCTGGCGCGGGCAATTAATAATCGTAAATGAGATAATATTGATTTGACAAAATTACACACGGTATATCGCAAAACGGCAACAGAGTGTATCCTTGGGCTGAATACGAATTAGATCGTTTCAACGAGACTCGCAAACAGCCCCGATTTAGTATATCAGATAAATAATAAATAATCGGGCGAATGCGGCGAGTGTTTCGCGCAAAAATCGGTATCAACGCGGGTCCGGCGAAAGAGGGAGGGGAGGGAGACGCTAAATGGTTGCGGCAATAATTACCAACGTTGTAAGGACCGTAATTAATTCCGAGAACGGCGAATTAATTTCGAACTGCGGTTAAAATGAAATACTTCTTACGGTTATAACATGGTAGCTAATTATGCCCGGAGATATATCGCGAGCATATTTTTCCCGCGTAAAACAAACGAGGCCGAAGTGTGTATGTGGGGCAAGTGCATACAACACCGATGCACCTCCTTAATAAATTTTGCCGCGCTGCATAGAGATAATTAGCATGCCCCGGGCGATGTAACAAGATCAAATTTATTAAGAAGGCGCAATGATAATGCGTCCCGTTCGCATCCCGCGAATGTACTTAGTCTCACTTATCTTGCGTAATCCGTAGTATCGGTGTCGGCGCAACGGAGTAAAATATTGCGATATTACCCCACGACTTGTCACGACAGAAAGTCACAGATGGGGCTTGCAGTTTCCCCTTTTCATTCTACGAAAAGAGATCACGAGGGGGGAAGCGAAACCGATGAAACCCGCACGATGGCACGCACAAGCGGACGCGCGCGCCGAAAAATGCAATGAAAGCTCTCTCGTCGTGAATGCGCGATATCAAAATTCCCGCCGTGGTTTTTTAAGCGATACTTGAATTTCAACGCGAGCCGCCTGTTCTCGTTTTAACGATCGACACGCTCGACGCCGTATCGAGAATTGCAGTTTACTACCAAATGGCGTATAATATTATACGCCGACGCCGGGATGAAACAAAAAAAGAAAAAAGAGAGGAAAAGAATCACGCGTTTATTACAACGAAGTGTTACGAGGGAAAGCCGAGATATTCGAGAGGAAAAACGGAGCAAGTTCGTTTCGATTGAAAAAAAGTCACTTTAGATATAACTGAACGTTAAGAGCGAAGGACGATCTGTTTCGTTCGAAGGACGAGTGGAGGGGGCAAAATTAAACGAAATCGACGTAGGTGAACCCTTCTGCGGAAGGTACAGCGTACACATTTGAGCTAATTACTCCATTCGTAACGGAGCGAAACGGATATTCAGGAGGTATTCACCGGGTGACGCGAATGTTGCAGTGTCGCAACAGCTGGGCTGTCAGCAAGCGATGACGGGCACGGGCGGCGGCGCCGGGGAACACGAGGGCGGCAAGAAGAAACACACGAGGCCCACGTTCAGCGGACAGCAGATCTTCGCCCTGGAGAAGACCTTCGAGCAAACCAAGTACCTAGCCGGCCCGGAGCGCGCTAAATTAGCGTACGCCCTTGGGATGTCGGAATCGCAAGTTAAGGTAACGTCTCGCTTAACAACGCTCGTAGCATATTCGATGAACTGTATTAGATGCTACCGTCGTTCAAGTATAATACTACAGGAAAAGGAATTAGTATTGATTCAAGGCTCATATTCTCATGTATAAAGAATTTTATACGAAGATAAAATTGTTTTTATATGAAGAAACTCTATGTATATAATTCTTAAGTAACAAGAATATGATATTTTTAATGGAACTATATAAAATTTCTTCATATATAAGCAAGTTTTATCTTCATATAAGATTATATTTTCGTTCAAAAATGTGAAAAGATACGGAGTCTTGAATTGATATTAATTTCTTTCCGTGTACCTTTTCGATTTACAATACGAACTTGTCTCTTTCGTGCTTTGAAGAATACTAATCGTTACATTCTAATGAAAGGGGAAATGGTTCCTCGCATTATTTCCCCGAAATATGAAACGCCTGCAATCTCTTCAACCCTTGACGCGATACTCGGAGTTCCGCGCGATTCACACCGCGAGTATCCCGATAATCATCGAGCCGCTATCGCGGGTGTCCCCTCGGTGTGAAAAAAAGCCGAAGAGACATTTGTCTCTTCGAGTTCGTCGCTGACACCGGGGAGATCGATCAAAGCACCACACCTCGGCGCCGAGATCCGCGCGCTGCGAATAATCCCGCGCGCGGCCGAAAAATCTCCCCGCCGCCCGGGAGGGAAAAAAGAGATCCGCCGCGATCGCCCGTCGACGGTGTCCGGGGGGCCTTCCACGACGACGTCCGCAAAAAGCGGCTCGCTCGCGTGGAGGTGCGATTTTAAAAAGCGTCCCGCTCTCGTCGCCCGGCTTACTCCATCAACGCGCCCCGCCCGCGAAACCACCACGGACGGAGCGACACGAGTGCGGGGGCGAGAAAGAGAGAGCGAGAAAGAGAGAGAAGGGGTGTGAGAAGGCGGGCGGGCGGAAAGGGAGGGTATCTAACGAGGTAGCCGGTAAAAAGTTCGAAGGATAAAAGAAGGTGACAAAACAGCCGGAGACGTGTCAAGCTTTGCGGCACCTGCGTCATCCTCGGCGTCGCTCTCTCTTTCTCGCGGATGCCGGCGGTGCGTCCGCCCTCTCGCTGCTGCAGGAGGAAGGGGGAGAGAACGGGGAACTTCGGATGAGACACGGGTGAAACTCGGGTGAAGCCTCGGTGACGGTGAGCGAAAGGACAGAGAAACCGGCGAACCCGGGCTCTCTCTCTTTCTCCCTCTCTCTGTCTCTCCCTCTGTCTGTCTCTTTCGCCCTTTCTCCTTCTTTCGTCCTCCGCGAGAGCTTTTGCACCCCTCTACCCCCTCCCCAGACATCTCTCTGGTTCCCCGCAAGCTCCGCCGCCTCTTCGCCTTCCACCTTCGATGTTCCGCACGGAGCCGAAACCACCCTCTCGCCCTTCGTCCCCCTTTTCCTCCACCTTCTCATCCTCATCCTTCGCCATCTTCGACCCTCCGAGAGCCGGCTTCCCATTTCGAAACCCTCAACCCCTGCCGCAGGGCAGGCTTCTCCCTTTCTCTCTGCCTCTCTATCTATCCCTCACGGACTCCGGGCGTCGATGTAGCGCTGTCATTGGCTCGTTCTACGCCGCCATATTTACATTTTTATTGAAAGCTACAAGTCTGTGTCGGTGAGTGATGGCGAAGGGGGAGAGAGAGAGAGAGAGAGAGAAAGAGAGAGAGAAAGAGAGAGCGCGAGCGTGGCGCCCCCTGAAGCCCACGGGGGTTGAGGGGGTTGTTGAGGAGGGAGGGAGGTCGGCGGATGAGGGACGCGACACGGAGGGTGGATGAGGAGGGGTTGCGCGGAGCGAGAGCGCGGCGAGGGAACGCGCCGGGGGGTGAGGAGGGTTAGCATTCAATTACCTCGGATTTCCTCGGGAAGAGGCGATTCACCTCCGCGTATATGCCATCTTCGAGGGCGAGATTGCCCCCAGATCCCGGAGTGCCGGCGCGTTTTTCGAAATATTACGACAATATATACCCGCGTACTCTTTCGCGCTCGACTCGCCCGCGGTGGGGAGAAAAAAAGAGGACGGAGGGGCGGGCGGTCTCGGGCTTGTTTATACCGGCGGCAACCCCCGATGAATCCCGCGTTATCTCGCGGTATCGCGCGATTTCCTTTAAACTTCTCTCCGGGGGTGATCGTGGGGCGATTTGTGCGGTAACTCTCTCGCTCGCGACAGATCTTCATCGTACCCACGATCCTCCGCCGCTCCTTAAATCGAGCGGACCCCTCGGCGAGGGGTCCCCGAATTTTTAGGGCTCGTCGAGGAAGAATTTCGAGGAACAACTCGAGGCAAAGCATTCAACAAACAAGCACTTCGGTGGTTCTTCCGGCATCATCCGTTCCGACAGGTCGCTATTTCCGCGCGAGATCTTCCGCTTCAAACCTCGAGAGATCCGGAGGAGGCGTGGAGTTGAGTATCCGAGCGCGTTCGAGCCGCGATTATGCGCACGAGCGTTTCATTCAGGGGTGATATCTTATAATTGGGATACACACGCAAGAGAGGATGCACAGAACGACGCGGTCGATGCCAGCGGAATACCAACGATAGATCGATACCGCTCCCTCGTGGTTGCGAGTAATACCGGATCATTACATACTGGACCTATCACTTTTTTCAATATTGGAAAGGGATTTGCGCGGTACGAAGGGATTTGGCAGCGCTGCCCGATGAAGATTTATACCGACCCGCCATTTCACAATTCCAGATTTATAACTTTTTCATTATCGAAACGTATATCTTATCGGCGCTCGCGCGCGCGAGGGCCCTCTTTCCTCTCTCTCTCTCTCTCTCTTTCTCCCTCTCGCTCTCTCTACTCTCTACTCTTTTTTCTTTCTTTCTTTTTCGCCTAATAGCACGACGGATTTCGGGCGGTAATCTCCGGAATACATTTTGCCACCGATGGTTCTCGGGGGTTATATCCGTCATGCTGTACAAATTGCCCGCACGTTAATATATTCGATCAACCGAACGTCGTTGGCTCGAATGTGACTCCCATATCTTTCTCGCGGCACAACACGGCAAGGAACTTCTCTCCGTAATGCGCGTGATGGTTCGCATAAATTCTCGCAATGAAATATTTGCCGGTGATGTATATCGCGTAATCTGAGCTACTAAATCACACAGGAAGTTCGTACGCAGCGTTTTGCAAACATCGAAGTAGAAATATAACGGAATACCTCATTGCCGTCCGTAACTATCGATTCCTCAAGGTACACCTTGGATTATATTTTTCGACCAACGTTTCGGAAGGATTCTCAACCACGGAAAAACTTGCACTCTCGGCAAAACATTTACTAGATATCAGAGGTATTAAGCTATTTTGTGTTGAGAAGAGTGGCCTAATCTACAAATACATGACAGCTGTTGTATTTAGCGACAGACATCAGTATACTGAACCTTGAACTTTGAACCTGGTTTTTCTCGAAATTTTGCGTGTTGTTTGCAAAATGATAGAGGACTTTTTGGTTCACCTCAATCCGTTCTACGCTCTCACGAAGTTTGTCCTTGTTGGTCTGGGATATCCTGTATAGTATAATATATGTATATGTATATGTATATCTATCAGTTGAAGAAGTTGCGTAGCACATAAGTTGGACTCGCGATCTAGAAGTCCCGAAATCGGTACCACCGGGATATATAAATGTGCTTTTCAAATACAATTACACTCCCATCGTATCAATTAAATTGCTAGTTTTATGCAGTATATCATCGCAAACGCTAATATCTTAAAAAACAAGTAATAAAATTTCTAGTCGGAAATATAAATATAATTTTGTCGTTATTGCGCGTATCTCCAAATTTGTCGGGCTGATTTAAACAGAACGCATACACCTAAATTTGCGCGGTTACGTTAATTATGGATCCTGCGTATTACACCGAACAATCTAGTTTATATACCCATATTTCAGATTAATTCGACCAATCCTTTTTCCGTGCGCGTCAAAGTAAGAACGAGTTAATTAATATCCACTCCACACTTGCGATTATGTCGCGAACGGAATGGAAGGGAGGTTACAGAGCCAATTGTAGGTTCGTTTCGCATTTCGCGACGGTTACACGCGCTCGAACGGGCCCGGCTGTCGTTAGCCGCCGCCACGACGTCGACGACGACGACGACGAAATTGCCAATGATATCCATCGCATGATTTAGTCAGGGTCCGCCCCATGAACACCGACCCAGAGCGAGCCAAGTGCAACGCGACGCGTCGCGACACTCGAAGGCTCTTAGCGCAAACGACCCCCTCGACTCGCATGTGTCCCCCCTATTAGAATCTAATACGGCAAAGTGAACGCGGAGCATTTGCGAGTTAAAGACCGTGGCGCCCTTGTTTCGTAGTCGCCCTTTATCCCCCCCCCCCTTCTCTCTCTTTCTCTCTCTTTTACTCTCGTATAGGAGTGTGTATCGCGACGAGGAGAACGAGAGATAAAGGGCAATTTCTGAGAGGAGGGGGGGCTGCTCGACGATGATGAGAGAGGCAGACAGAGCGCGGAAGATAGAGCGGGTCGGACACGGGGTGGTTGTGTGTTGTTGGCGACGGCATCGACCGTGAATCAGGGGATTAGATACTTTCTTGTACAGACGAAATGCCGAGGGTATGGTGGTCGCGCGACCTCTCCGCGGTCTCTCTCGCTCTTTTCGTCGAAGCGACTGCGGACATGGCGGGAACGGCTGTTCGGACGGCACAACTTTGCCGAGCTGCTCGATCTCTCATCGACATCGCGTGCTGTGATCGTCTCACGAGTCTCTCTTGTTACGCGAATTCGATGATTCCGCGTTTGAGGAGAAATCGCGCATAAATCCACCCGAGAAGTCACTATCGAAGCGACCCCCGGTGTTTCGAATCGCTGTGCGTATATTCTTCTTATCTCGACTGTCATTGGAGGACACTAGTAGCGCATCGTGTTTCCTTCACGATTACTTCGTCGAACTCTCCCCTTCTCTTTCTCTCCACCAGCCGACCTCCGCTACTTTCCAGCGAAACAGC